TGAGAAGGTGCGCGTGCGTCTAAGGGCCCCGGGCGCTGCCGCCGCCGGGCGCGGGGACACGGGGCGCGCCTGGGAAGACCAGGGCACTTCCCACGGTCTCTCCTCGCCGCCCACAGCTCCGCCTGTGGCTCCCCGTGTCCGCATCTTGACTCTGAGCTCAGCCCTGCGGGGCGCGGGTCTCTCATTCCTGGGGAGGGTGAAAGGGGAGCTTAACGGGACCGTGCGCTTCCTGTCACCGGGAGTTACTTTTTATTAAGGTTAGTCAGCTATTTACTTGGAAGCCCAGGTGTCAGCTTGTCTCACACACCCTCTCCAGCCCCTTGTAGGCCTGGCGGTGGATAAGTGACCACGGGCAGCTGGCCTGGGGCAGGCAGGCAGGACAGGAGGCGGGGACAGGCTCAGTGGCTCGCAGAGACCCCACCTGAAGCTCTGCCTGCAAAAGGCCGGCCGGCCACGTAACCCAAGGTGTTCCGTGTGTGCCCTGTTCGCTGGTCCTGGAGGTGTGCAGACCTGCGGGAAACCACCCAAATTCACAGCCACCTTAGCATCACTCTTCCAGTTCAGGCCAACACACCCCACCCTCTCTGCTCACCTCACGTGCCCCGAAATGTGCGTTTTTAAACTTGCCTGGAAACTAGTGATATTCCTTGAAAATTCTGAAGCATCTGTATCTGGGACACCCCTGAGGAGGGCCCCAGGGGAAGAGCACTTGCTTGAAAACGGCCCTGGATCTAGATTTGCTTTTCCAGAAGTTCATTGGAAGGCCTGGGCCTTTGTCAACCTCATTCAGACCGGAGAACTATTGGGGGACAGGCAAGGACAGCACTCAAGGCCCAGGTGGAATTCTGGTCTCCCCCACTTTCAGGCCCCCCTGAGTTACTGCTCCCTGACCGCTCCTTTGGGGGCTGTATTCCCAGCAGGGTGTGCTCTCCCTCCAAGAAATCAAGTAGCCTGCGGGACATACCAACACCCGGTTCCTCCACCTCTGCTGGAGACTCTGGTCCAGGAAGACAGACGGACCTGCATCCCCCACAGATCATGAGTTTTTGGACAGTAACCAAAACGCAGCTTCTCTGGGAGGAAATTTTTTTTTTTCCTAAGCAGCATCTTGCAGTAGTTCATCTTTAGCTCTGTGCCTTGTATTTCAGTATGTAAATTCCTTGTCCAACCCGCTGATTAAATCCAGACCCTGTGCTGGCTCAGACATGTTCTTGTTCCATGCGCCCCCTTCCGGAGCCAGGAGACAAACTCAGTCCCGCTGGCTGCCAGGTTTGTCCAAGCGGGTCAGCCTTATAGGGCTTAATTTTGGTGGCTTCACCCTCTCGTCCAACTCCAGGGTTGCCATTTACCAGGTCCCCTCTCTTGGGGGATTTGTACTCTCTTCCTCTGGTTTCGTTGCAGCCCTTTCTCTTGGGTAGAGACAGCCGTCAGGCAGTTATGTGCCTGCTACAGCCACAAAGATGACTTCATTCAAGAGCTGTGTAGCAGGCCAGAGATGCATAGCTTCCCACCCCTAAGGAGCTCAAGGGCTGGGGTCCACAGCGGGCTGTCAGGGCAGTAGACTCAGATGGGTCCCTCCCTCAATGCAGAGCTCACTCAGTCACCTCGATGTCCGGTGCAAGGCTGGTTAGCTCCCCTGAAGTATTCTGCATATGCCAAGAACTGAATTTGGTGTCAAGTTTTTCCCAGCAGCAATTATCTTGATAATTCTAGAATCTGAGTGATGGATTTATGCAGATTCATTAAATGATTCTCTCTACTTTTGCCTATGTTAGAAAATTTCATAATTAAACATTTTAGAAAGTCATCTTGGGCCCACTGGCAGTTTTTGGGAAAAGTGGAGTGGTCAAGCAAGAACATCCCATTTAGGACCAATGGGATGCTTGGCAAGTCGAAAGGATTGGGAAGGTCAGGCAGCAGGTTCAGTGTACTGCTGTGAACTCTTGGAACCTGCAGAGCAGAGCTGATCTGGGTATTGCCCAGGTGAAGCTTCAGCCCTAAGCATTTTTGCCTTTGTGACAAAAGTATCCTTTGTACTCACACCAGGTTAAGTACACTAAGTGGGCAGTGAGCCTTATCCAAGTCACACAAGGAAAGGTAGTTCTTTTGGTAAACCGCTTCCCAGAACAAAAACTGGTGGAGGCTTGTTGTTTTTTAACCATCACTGTTTTCCAGGCGCACAGGGCTCTAGTAATGTACAACACTGCTAATCTGTAAAGTTGTGAAAACATCCACATTATATATAGATGTGGTGTGAGAATTAAAATAATCTGCCCTGGCCAAGTAGCTCAGTGGGTTAGAGGGGGGAAAAATAAGGCCATATTTGGGATATGTGTATACTAAAAACTTATCTGAAATTAAATTTTAACTGGGTGGCCTGTATTTTGTCTGGCCAACCCCAGGCACACAGTGAGTTGATAATCAATGTTAACTTTATTAGGAACAGGAAGATTATTTTCAATACATATTACCTGGACAGGATGTCATTTCCTGCTAAATACAGCTTTTCTTTGAAGGCGATCTCAAAAGGGCATGGAGGGGGGGGGCCTGGGGGAGCTGGTGGCCCGGAGGACAGATGGTGGCCACAGACTACCTTGGGGCTTCTTCCAAGGCAGCCCCCCCCCCCCC